TATAGTCCAGGAAGAAAAATATCGGCAGGAACCCGAGACTATTTGCTGTCTTCCCCCGACATCCAAAGTTTATCTGATGAAGTTTTGAAAACACTTAAAATATTTTATTTTATTAAAAAAAATTACATGACTCACCTGGACTTCGGTTCAAGGTTTCATCAGGCAACAAGGTTAGAAAGTCACCGTCATCATTTTTGGGGATGCTTTGAAGGATTTTCTTGGCTTTATGGTCCCTCAGTTTCTGCTTATTAATTCTTGCCTCCCTGTGACTTTTCTTCAACTCCATTTGGGCCTGAAAATGATCAGCTATAAATAGTTAATGTTCTTCCCCCAGAGCTACTTTCACCATAATAGGTCAGTGGATCAGCCACTCTGCAAATTGTGTGCTTATCTTTAGACATCTGTGGTCCCCAATCAGAACGGGGTTCTCTTTTTCCTATTAGAAAGTACAGAAACTTTCTTTTTGCACCAGTTTGTTAGAAGAAAGGAGAGTATGCCCAGTCTCAAAAAGCTGAGGACCTTTGTAAAAACATTTCTCCGTGCGCCAGCTGATATATTTGGAATTGCAGAAGACAGTGACTTTAGGCTTATTCACTGGAGTGAGAAATTTGGAATATGAGAGTTATAGGAAACATTACTGTAAAAGGGTTTGTTACAAGAGATATTTCTTGTAAGATAATTCTGTGGCATATATTAGAGATGCCTAGGTATTAAAATAAATAAAGACCAATCACACACACACACCCTTTTACCTAACCATGAAAAATGATCTAACCCCAATTTTCTGCTGGAGTCAGAATGTCATAGAAGCAATGGTTACAAAAAGAAAGAAAGACTTGAGACATAGGTACATCTTTATGAGGACTGAGAACGGAGAAAAGACTCCGCAGCGTTGGTAGCAGAAGGGATCTTGCCGGTTCTTCCCAGTTCCAGTAGTTTAATCTTCAGCTCCAATGACTAAATTTAAAATGCTAAGTAAAGACCGGAGATGGATGCTTAACTATATTCATGTGCCAGGGCAGTCATTATGTGAAGTGAATTTGGTAAATGCGACACTCTTCTTCCCTCTTCTCATATTTACCTCTTGTCTTTTACGGTTCATTTCCAGCATTTGCATCTTATGTAAATACTGTCTTTTCCCAGAAGTGTACATTGGAATTTGCATCTTTTTTTCCAGTTCCTGCTATGAAAGATGACATACTCGTTAGTATGCGGTAATGAGTTACTGACTCTTAAATCTACAACTTGAAACCCTTTTTAGAACAGCGCAGGATCTTAATCATTAAATCGTAATCCACAGAGACCTCTTGTAATGTCAAAGATGAATCACTGCAGTTCCCCACGAGTCTTTTGTGTAGCTTTCAGTGAATGAAGTAGTAGTTTACAATGTATATAATGTAATTTTTAAAGTTCCTGCAGGGTTTTGCAAGCCTTGAATGGAAATATCTTTCCACATCTCGTTTTGACAAGATAACACTTCCCCTGTCAAGAGATGCTTATTACTATCTTCCCAGAAATGTGTTCTGGTTTGATGAGAACTGCCTCTCTCTCCCTTTCTCTTTTACCATTGACTCATTGTCTGGCTATGAAATTAGAGGGGGGCCACTGAATGGGTAAATGGAACCTATTTCCATAGTGTAGCCCCATATACCAATATAAACCCTGATATATTACAGCTTAGGATGGATTTGAAGTTGATTATTTGTAACTTTGGTGATCTCCCCCTGGTTCATTATTAACTTCAGTGGGACAGTGCAGATAGTTATTGAGAGCACCCAGGGATGAATACACCCTCATTCATCACTTGCTGTGGCCAGGAAAGGGAGGGGATATGGCAGCCAAATGTGTTTGGCGACGTCTTTTTATGTTGCCCTGTCGACAGTGACTGATGTGAGACTCAGCGAGGGCCTGTCTCCGCAGGTGCTGTAAGCATCACAACCAAGGCCTGGAGGATCCAAAAACACCTGGACATCTTCTACCAAATGAGCCAGCGCACAACAGCATCTAGCTGGCTCCAAGATGAATCAGGAGTGGAAAGTATTAAAAATTTACTCCTATCTCACACTTTGCACTTCTACACGAGAGGAGTCTTCTTAGCAGAGTGCGACAAGTTTATAAAAGGAAAATGCTCTATGGAAGCCCCTTTCCAGGATTCCTTTTTGATGAGCTTGGGGTAAATAAGTCAGGAACAACTTGTAGATAAGATTTACCTTGAAAACGGAGAACAAAGAGGAAGTTTTAACCCAAGGGTAAGAAGGAAAGGGAGGAGTTATGCCAGATTTTTCACAAATTTGAATACTTCTAGAATCACTAATATCCAAGTAAAATTTCTCTCTCTCATCTACTTCTCCCTGTTTCAGGAAGCAAAGAAAGGCCCAGGTTCACCTGAGAGACAGGAGTAGTTTCCACCTGGATGCAGGCCCAGGAGAAAATGCATGGCTTTGGAAAATTCTAACTCAGAAGGACTTAATGGTTAGATTTGTCTTTGAAGTCTTCTGTGCAGGGAGTACATGAAAAGGAAGCCCACCCCCTGCTCCCTCCCACCACTTACCCACCCCATCTGGTTATCACCGCGGTTCACCTTTGCTTTGTGAGTCGTCCTGGCTTCTTGCGGTCTCGGGATCCTTTCAGAAGTCATTACTTGTGGCAGGTCGACGGGTTCAAGCTTCTAGAAGTCCAACATTTAGAGCATTCAGCATTCCTCATGCGTTGATGAAACATAAAAGTCGAGCATTAAACTATCTTAAAACTTTGCAAAAGCGGCACTTACTCCTAAGAGCACACGGAGAAGACGATCTCAGCAGGATTACAGTCGTATCTGTGCAAAAGGCTTTTCTAGTAATGCAATTCTTTTTTGTACTATTGCCCTGTTCCCAGTGACTTATTGATCTAAATATTGGTCAGAATATGGATCTAAATATTTCTATCTGCATTGAGGGACTATGTCCAAAGTTATCAATCAACGAGGATCTTAGAATATTAGAGATGAAAGAGGCACCAAGAAGTTACTTTATTTTATTCATCCTTTAACCACCTAGCTGAACTCTTCCAGTCCTTAGGGAGGTGACCTATTTTTAAGATCTCCCGAGAAGCTCCCTCAGCCTCCTCAGTAATAATCATTGGTACTTATGAGGCACATTTAAAATGAAAGTGTAGTATGCTAACAAATTTTAGGCATGACTTTTTCTAGCAGGGGTTTGGCATTATGGGGAGGTGATGCTAAAGTTTCAAGGGGTCACTAAGATGGGTAGCAATTGATGAATGGGTGGATCTGCCTCCAGCCCTGCTTGCCTCGGGTGCCTTACTGCTCAGAAGCTGGAGTATTGGGAAGTGATTGAGTAGGCTTAAGACCTAAAGGCTGGTCTGTTCATGGTGACATCAAACAAGGACCTGGAGGGTCACAGAATTTATTTCTTCACTCAGTTCTTATTGAATAGCTGCTACGTGCCAGGAAGCAGGGTACAGTGATCAACAAAAATTGTCTCTCTATGGGGGAAACAAATACACTTTTGCTTGTGTGATTATTTGATTAATAATTACAAACTAATCAGTACTTTGAAGAAAAAGTCGACAGGACGGGACTATGACAATGCATAAGTGGAGGAAGTCCACCGTGGAAGCAGGAGATGTTATGGGCTGAATCATGTTCCTTCCTCCAAATTCGTGTGTCACAGTTCTGACCCCCAGTACCTCAGAATGTGACCTTAGTGGTGAATAGGGTTCTTGCAGGTATGTTGTTAGTTCAGATGAAGTCTGCTGGAGTAGGGTAGACCCTTAACTCAATATGTCTGGTGTCCTCATAAAAAGAGGAAATTTATACACAGAGGTGCACACAGGGAGAACACCGTGTGAAGATGAAGGCAGAGACTGGGGTAATGCTTCTACAAGCCAAGGAATGCCAAAGATTGCCAGCAAATCCCCAGAAGCTAAGAGAGAGGCATGGAACAGATTCTTTCTCACAGGCTTCGGGAGAAAGCAACTCTGTCGACACTTTGATTTCAGACTTCTAGCTTCCAGAACTGTGAGACAATACATTTCTGTTGTTTTAAGTCGCACAATTTATTATACTTTGTGACTGTATCCCTAGAAAACTAATACAAGGGGGGAAGGGTAAGTAGGCAGTCCAAGAAAGTTTCCCGAGGAAGTAATTTTTCAGCAAAAGTCAGAAGATTGGGAGTTTTAAGGCGGGTGTTCAGGCAGAGGGAGCGATATGAGCGATGGCCCTGAGGTAGAAGAGAACATGATCTGTTGAAGGACCTGCAGGAAGTCAGTTCAGCAGCTCACATGAGGCTGGCGAGGTAGGCAGGGCCAGCTCATGCTGGGCCTGATGGGGCAGTATAAAGTGTCGGTCTTCTTAAGAGCAACCAGCAGCTGTTGACATGTGTTAAGCAAAGTAGTGACACGATTACATTTGCTTTCATAAAATGATCACTCTAGCTGCAGTGTGGAAACTAAAGGAGAGCAATGACGGGGAGAACAGTTAGGAGGACAAAGATGATGGGCCAGGGGCTCGTGGAAGGACACTGATGGGCTCTACAGATATTTAAAACTGACCAAACAGGATTTATGGTTGGTGAGAAAGAGTGAAGTGTCCAAATGACATTCAAATTCAAAAGACAGTGAGTGTTATCAGTCACTGAGATGGAGAATTCTAGAGGATGACCAGGAATATAGCAGGAATATACAAATTCAGTTTAGAGCAGGTTGAACTTGAGATGCCTTTGAAACATCCCAGTGTAGATGTTAAGCAAATAATTAAATATACAGGCATAGAGCTCAGAAGACAGGTCTGTTGGATATGCACATTCGAGGGGTCATTCCTGGGTCGAGAAAAACTGAAACCATAGTCATGGTGAGGTCATGACTGAGACGAGCAGAGCCAAGGACTGAAGCCTTGAGGAATCCAAAACTGAGAAGTAGGGGATGGAGATGAAATGGCCAAGGAGACTGAGAAGTGATGGCTCGTGAAGCAGGAGGAAAACCAGGACGCTGTGCTGCAGTAGACAGCATGATCACTGCTCTCACTTTAGTCCAACACGAAAGACAAATCCTACTGTATTTTGAAATTACTTGTCATTGTAGTCTGATTTGTGTGTTACCAGTGGGTGACCAAGGTAAAAAGAGAGAGGGAGAGACCACGGGAAATGGATGCTGAGTATCCAGCACCCATAATGGGGAGCATGATTTATGCCTCCTGCTACTTCTATATAGAACACCTTCCTGGTCCTTGGGCCTGGGCCTGAGCTGTTCTAGGGAGGGCAGCCAGCTCCTGCTAGAGCACCTTTAGGTGAGGAAGTGGCGTTTTGTTTGTTTGTTTGTTTTGACATAATGACTTAGCAAGGAGGTAATGAGAGGTGATAGATACTAGTAAGAAAGAGGTTTGTCTGGCTCTCTTCTCTGCAGAACACAAAGATACAGGGCAAATGGGACCTGTTGGCACAGGAGGCAACAGCTGATCAAGTCAGAATCCCAAGGGAAATAGAATAGAAAAGAAGGGGAAGGTAGACTAAGGGTGAAGGGATAATCCAGACACCTATGGGAGGGAGAATCATCCATGGCTGAGGGGGAATTTCGAGGTGAGGAGAGAACAAGGACATGTTTGTGCCATCTTCTGGCTCGGTTTAGAATTGGTTCTTTCTGGTGAATAGTCAAATGCCACTGTAGTCACTGCTGTCCATCATGCCCAGGTCACAATATGTCATCTCGTTCCATTGTCACATGAACTCTGTGAATAATTATGTTCTTACCTCTTTCAGAGAAGTTAATAACATGTCTAAAGTTGCATAGCTAGAAAGTGGCAACTGGTGCATTTAAACTTGGGTCTGTCTAGTTCTAAACCCCTTGCTCTTTTCTCCATGACTTGTTCCTAAACCTGATCTGGCATCAGAATCTCCTGGAATTAAAAAAAAAAAATCCTGGACTATTCACTGGGGATTGAGTCGACAGGTCTGGGATATGTCCTGGGGGAAAACATATATAGTATACATATTTGTATGTATAGTTAATTAATAAACTTTATTTTTTAGAGCAGATTTAGGTTCACAGCAAAATTGAGCAAATGTATACTGATGTGTATCTACCATTATAGTATCATATAGTTTCATTACGCCCCAAAATCCTCTGTGTTCTGCCTATTCGCCTCTCTTTTCTCTCTAACCTCTGGCAACCACTATATTTTTATTACTGTCTCCACGGTCTTACATTTTTCCAGAATGTCATGGAGTTGGAATCATATAATATGTGGTCTTTTCAGATTGGTTTCCTTCACTTAGCAACATGCAGTAAAGTTTCCTCCTGTCTTTTCATGGTTTGATAGCACATTTCCTTTTAATACTCAATAATATTCCATTGTCTGGACGTACCACAGTTTATTTATCCACTTACCTACTAAAGCACTTATTGGTTGCTTCCAAGTTTTGGCAATTATGACTAAAGATGCTATAAACATCTGTGTGTAAATTTTTGTATGGATATGAGATTTCAATTCATTTGGTAAATACCAAGGAGCATGGTTGCTAGATTATATTCTAAGAGTATATTTAGTTTTATAAGAAACTGCCAAATCGTCTTCTAAAGTGGCTGTACCATTCTGCATTCCCACCAGCAATGTATGAGAGTTCTCGTCTTTCCACATCCTCACCAGCATTTGGTATTGTCAGTGTTCCAGACTTTGGCCATTCTAACTGGCGTGTAGTAGTATTTCATTGTTTTTTTAATTTGCAGTTCCCTAATGACATGTGATGTTGAACATCTTTTCATATGCTTACTTGCCATCTGTATATCTTCTCATTCTCTTGACATTGTATTTCTCAGAAGTTCTTAATTTTAATAAGGTCCAACTTATCAATTGTTTCTTTAGAATATATATATATTTCAAAACTCTCTAGGATATTCTGATGATTTCCTAGGGTGGGATCCACTGGCCTCAACTAAATAAAGGAACTACATCAAAATAGACTGCAGAGGATTTGTTCGTGGAGCATTACTGAACAACTGAATCTAAAGAAGCCAGCTATTTAAATATTTTCAACTATCTAAAATAATCCATCAATAATTTCTTAGGATCTTGTTTTTCTTTGAAAATATGAATATATATTCTTCTATTTCAGTGTCACTTTATCTGAATCTGCAGTTTCGATAAGAGTTAAGTACTAGGTGTCTTTAAGAACTCTTTCCAGGAAATTGCTTTCTTCTTGGCTTTTGAAAAGAACCTAAGGGTTCGCACTATTTCTCCGCAAAGGACACTAGATGGCAGCAACTAACCCTGCAAATAGGATTCCTCTGTTAAATCATTAGCACTTGACCTGAGAAGTGCTGAAGAAAAACATTGTTGGAAAATTGGTTTCTCTAAACAAACCAATCAGATGAAATTGCCTTGCAACACTGGATTCATATCAATGTTCCTTTTCCTTGCCTAGGAAGTAAGATGCCACACTTCATCATCTTCAAAGAGAATACATTGGGAAGAATTACAGGAGAATTGGTAGAGTGACACCTTTTATTATTTTTTTGTTTCATAAAAAAAGATTGTCTAAAGATTTCTGGATAATTTGGCTTCTCAAATAAAACAAATGTCAGGATAACCAGGTGAAGCATCAAGGAGATTTAGAAAAGGAGATTAAATCAAGCATAAGTCGCTGAGCTTGATGACAAACACTAACTTGAGAT